CCATATGCACAATGCAGCATATGTGCAACCCCCTCCAAGCACAATAAATAAACGAATAAAGCAAACACCGATCAATAGTACTCTGCCAGTTTCCCTCAATGATGATAGAGTACCACAGTTAGGATAATGACATGGTCATCACCAACAGATCTTACTTAGAGTCCTCTAGTTTTATTGTATGTTTGTATTTCATACTGGGTTTTTTAAGTTGTTTTTTATTAAAAAACATTTTTTAAATTTTACATACCAATCCCAGTTCCCCCTCCCTCCTCTTCTCCTGTCCCCCTTACCCCACCCCCACCCCCTCCATCCACTCCTCAGAAGAGGTAAGAACTCCCTTGGGGGAGTCAGTCAACAAAGTCTGGCATACCAAATTGAGGCAGGACCAAGCCCCTTCTCCCTGTATCAAGGCTGAGCAAGGTAGTCATTCTAGTTTCACTTGTATGCTTGTATTTCATTATGTATAGTTTTTTTTTGCTTGTGGTACTCAAGATGGAAGATAGATCCTCATGCATGTTAGACAAGCATTCCATCGCTGAGTAACACCCCAAAACTGCAGGGTTTTTAATCCATCACTATAGTCAATATATATAATATTTCTGGGCAGGTGAGATGGATCAGTGGGTAAGGGTGTTTGCCGTGTAAGCCCGACAGCCTAAGTTTGCTATCTGGAACCCACATGAAAGTGGAAGGAGGGAATGACTCCAGAGTTGTCCTCTGACCACCACGTGTGGCAGGTACCACGGTGTGTGCAGTCATACACAATGATAATACATTTTTAAAAAGACCTTTAATATTCCCAGTACAACAAAGATCCTGCCTATTGTTCTTTTAAAATAATTAGCATCCCCCACACATACTCACTGTGGCCTGTATCTGTGGTTTGTTTCTTTCTGTTGCTATGTAGTTTTCCTAGTGTTTTTGTACCAGAGTATTAACTAGTATTCACCTTTTGAAAGATATCTGGGCAGATTATGGTTAGGCCTAAGCTATTATGAATATTCATATACTTTTTATATGAACATTAAGTTTTCATTTCTTTGGGATAAATGCCCAAAAGTACAGTTGCTAGGTCATATGATAATTAATGTTTAGTTTAGTTAGAAACTGCCAAATTGTTTTCTAGAGTAACTGTATCATTTTAATTCCCACCAGCAATGTCTGAAAGATCCAGTTTCTCTGCATTCTTGCCAGCATTTGGTGTCGTCTCTGTTTCATTTTAACCATTTTGATAGGTCAGTGATGTCTTTCAATTGCATTTCCCTGGTGCCTAATTGTGTTAAACATCCTTCTGTGTGTTAATTTGCAATCTGTCTATATTTGGTATGTGTGTGTACGTATACACATGTACATTTATGTTGTGTGTGGGTGAATACACCCACAGAAGCCACACTAGGATGGCAAGTGTCTGCTTTAGTTGTTGTTTAGTGACTTTTTGAGACAGGGTCTGTCACTGAACACAAAACTCACCATTTTGACTTGTTTTACTGGCCAACAAGCTGTGATGTCTGTCTGTCCCTAGATGCTGGGGTTACTGACATTTGTGACCATGCCCAGCTTTTACATAGTTGCTGGAGATTTGAATGTGGGGCCTCCTGTTTGTTTATACAGCAAGTGTTCTTTTACTCACTGAGCCATTTCCTAAGCTCCTCTTGTTCTTTGGAAGTTTTGATTTTGTTCCTCTGGGGTTTGGAGCTAACAAGTTCTTGTCCACTACATGGTACACAAACATTTTCTTCCAGTCTGTAGTTTGTCTTTTTTGTAGAGTCTTTTAAAGAGGACAAGGCTTTAATACTGATTAGGTCCATTTTATCACTGTTGTCCTTTTTTATGTTTTTTGTTTTGTTTTGTTTTGTTTTCGAGACAGGGTTTCTCTGTATTGTTTTGGTGGCTGTCCTGCAACTCGCTCTGTAGACCAGGTTAGCCCCGAACTCATAGAGATCCACCTGCCTCTGCCTCCCAAGTGCTGGGATTAAAGGTGTGCGCCACCAACACCCCGGCATTTTTATGTCTTTTTTATTTTTAAATTTAAATTAGCAACAATGTTGCTTCACATGTTAATCCCAGGTCCCTCTCCCTCTCCCTCCCCTCTTCCCATGCCCTCCCACCAAAACCCCCATCCCCCTTCCCTCAATCCCCACTCCTTTCCCCAGGGAGGGTGAAACCCTCCATGGGGGGTATCCATAGACTGTCATTTCATCCAGGTCAGGGCCTAGGCCCTCCCCCAAGAGTCCAGGCTGAGAGAGCATCCCTCATTGTGGGATGGGCACCCAAAGTCCATCTGTATGCCAGGGATAAATACTGATCTACTACCCAAGGCCCAATAGATTGCCTAGGCCTCCTCACTGACACCCACATTCAGGGGGTCTGGATCAGTCCCATGCTGGATTCCCAGCCATCAGTTTGGGGTTCAAGAGCTATCCCTCGTTCAGGTCAGCTGTTTCTGTGAGTTAAACAAGCCCAGTCTCTACGCCTATGATCATCAGTCCTCCCTCTCTGTCTCTGGGTTCCTTGAGTTCCGCTCAGTGTTTAGCCAAGGGTGTCTGCCTCTGCTTCCATCAGCCATTTGATGAAGATTCTGTTTCCCAGACTCTCTGGCAGTGGGATTGTAGGCTGGCACTCCCTGATCCATATCTAAAATCCATATATGAGTGAGTACATACCAAGTTTGTCTTTTTTGTGACTGGGTTACCTCACTCAGGATGGTTTCTTTTAGTGCCATCCATTTGCCTGCAAATTTCAAGATTCCAGTGTTTTTTCCGCTGAATAGTACTCCATTGTGTAAATGTACCACATTTTCTCTATACATTCTTCTTTGAGGGCCATCTAGGTTGTTTCCAGGTTCTGGCTATTACAAATAATGCAGCTATGAACAAAGTGGAACAGACATCCTTGTTGTATGAATGGGCATCTTTTGGATATATGCCTGAGAGTGGAATTACTGGGTCTTGTGGTAGTTTTACTCCCATTTTCATGAGGAATCTTCATACTGATTTCCATAGTGGCTGTATGAGTTGGCATGATTTCCAAAGTGGCTGTGCTTTGGCACTCCCACCAGCAGTGGAGGAGTGTTCCCCTTTCTCCACATCCTCTCCAGAATAACCTGTCACTGGTGTTCTTTGTTTTTTTTTTTTTTTAGCCATTCTTACAGGAGTAAGATGGTATCTCAGAATTGTTTTGATTTGCATTTCCCTGGTGGCTAGGAATATTGAGTACTTTCTTAAGTGTCTCTCAACCATTTTAGACTCCTACTGAGAATTCTCTATTTAGTTCTGTAGGCCACTTTTTAATTGGATCCTTTGGTGTTTTGGAGGCATTGTTTTCCTTTTTAAAGATTCATTTGTCTTACATGTATGCATGTTTAGCTTGTCTGTATCATGTGCATCCTGGAAGTTCTGAAGTTATGGATGGTTGTGAACTGGTTCTGAAGTTATGGGTGCTATGAATTGAATCTGGGTCCTCTATAAGAACTACAAGTGCTCTTAACTGCTGAGTCATCTCTCCAGCCTACACTGTTTCCTTTTATAGATCATGATTCTAGTGTCAATTCTAAGAACTGCTTGCATAGCCTGGAAACTGAAGGTTTTACACTGGATGCTTTTGTAAAGTGAGGGTTAGGTTTATCTTCCTGGTTTTTACATATAGGTGCTGATTTTTGCAGATTTGAATTATTTATGTGAGTCCATTTCTAGCTTCTTCCCTGTCTACACCTCACCAGTAGACTTCTTGTGGCTATCACTTTTTCCTTAACTAGATGTATTGCTTTTGTAAATGATTTTCTTGGGGCTGGAGAGATGGTGTTCTTAAGAGGAGTGGAGTTTAATTCCCATCACACACATCAGGCAGCGTGCACCTGTAATTCTGGTTTTAAGAGCTCTGATGCCTCCTGTGGCACCCGCGCTCCTGTGTGCACACTTCCCCCGTGAGTACACACAACTAAAACTAAATCTTTACAAGAGATTTTCTTTGGCAATACTTTAGTGGTTTTGAGATAATTTGAACAGAAAAATACAGAACAAATACTTGCTTTCCCCCTTTAATATTGACTTATTTAGAGACTAATGAGTTGATTCTGTCCACCAAAGGTGACTAATAATGGGTTTGTAAGTACGATGAACTTATAGATTTTAAACATATTTCATATATTTTAACTCATGCTAGCTGTAGTTCTTATTATTGATACTCTAATTAGCTCGTGTTTTGCCAGGAGTTTATTCTGATTGGCTTCTGAGTCCACTTGGCACAACTCCTGTGACCTTTGACTGTTTCTTAGTATGTAGGCCCAAGAACTCCCAGGATTTTCTTAGATGTTTCCTGCCCCAGACTTGGATGCACTTCTCTGAGGAACATGATTCCTTTTCATGAGAAATGATAGCAGCTACAATTTGGATTTGTAGCAACCCAGCTGTCTTTAACACTTGGTATTTTTGTAAACATATAAATGTAGTTGTTTACATGTAATACATATATGAAAGAGAAAAATCATAAGTATATACTTAAAATTTCAAATCATGTTAAAAATAAGGTTTTGGCTAGAAATTATATCTGTATATCTTTAAAAAATATTTATTTTTATGTATGTGGCTGAAGGGTTTTTTGCCCACATACGTCTGTGCACAACATGAATGCCTGTTCCACATAGAGGCCAGAAGAGAGTGTTACATTGTATACTCTGAAACAGGAATTGTAGACAATTGTAAACAGCCATGTGAGTGCTGGGAATCAAACCTGGGTCCTCTGGAACAGCATCCAGTGCTCCTAACTGATTAACTATCTCTTCAGCACCTACATTTGTATATTTTATTTAGAAAACCTTGCTCTTGATGCCTAATGAGTAACTTAACTACTCATTCTATAGGTAAATATTTTAGGCCTGATTCTTTGTTTAACAAAATATCCTGCTGGTAAGTCCTATGGGAGCAATGATAAAAGACTCATTTAGAACATTTATAAAAAGTATATCCATGCCTATTTTAATTGTAGATTATATTAATTTATAGATATAGCCCACGCTTGATGGAAAAAATTCTTCAGATGGCTGAAGGTATTGATATTGGGGAGATGCCATCATACGGTCTGATGCTGCCCAAACCTTCCAAAGGCCAAAAACGCTACCTTTCAGCCTACGATGGTGAGTATAACTTGTTTCTGGGAGGTGGGATTTGAAGAAATGTAGCTTCTTAAAATAATATGAGCGTGGTGTGTGGCTTCAAATAACACTGGTAGCATTGGATTCTATTTAAAGATAAATGATTTTTTTAATTTGGTTTTGAGACACAGCCTCTCTGTGTAGCTCTGGCTGTCCTGGAAGCCACTTGGTAGACTAGGGTGACCTAGAGTTCACAGAGATCCACCTACCTCTGCCTCCCAAGTGCTGGGATTAAAGGCATGCCTCCATGCCTGATGTAGATAAGTGATTTCTAACTTACATACAATTTTGAGTATGCGAATAAGAACTGAAAGTACAGAAGTCCCACTATAGTGCTATCCTTGAAGTCTATGCCATGGAACCTTCCTCTAAATAGAAGAGTCATTCTGGGATCATCTTAGCATCTGAGTAATTAGATATTCTTGGATAGGTCCAGATGGACCCGCTTTCTACTGAGGAATGCTATCAGGAAGAAGCACTAGTCTCTGGTATAGCCCTAGTAGTAGGTCTCTGTGCCTTCAAATGTAGAAGTAGATGTGACTGCCTTTTGTGCAGGACAAGTCAGAACCAAGGTTTTAGTTGAAGACTGTTTATTTTTGATACTGTAGTCACAACTATGTAAAGCACCACCATAGTCACTCACTTCTGATACTAAAGAGAAAGGTTTAGTAAGTTCATCTGGTCATCCATCATTTCTGTTTCATTAGAGTCATCTGGGATTCCTCCAGGAACCTTAGAGCATAGGTGGTCAGAGATTGTCCTAGTACATCCTTCCAGTACAGGTGAAGAGTTCATGTCACTTGTGCTTTAGCACACTTGTTGTAATTTCATCTCCTACTCAGGCATGGCAGCAGCCTGCGTACTTGATGTGATGAACTGTTTACTATTAAGAATCTTTCCTTACGCATGGAGAGAGAGGAAGCGTCGCCCCTTATGGTAGAGTCTTAGGGTGATATGAATCCCTTCACCCAAGTGACTGGGACAGACCTTGTACCAACAGTGTGGCTTTCAGATAATACAGTTGGTACTATTTTCCTGCTTGGTTCTTTTGAAATATTCCCATTTTAATGAATTGTAAATTTCACTCATTCTATAGGTCAAAATCCTCCTAAAAAGCAAGCTGGTTCCAAATTCCATGTGAGACCTCGTTTTGAGCCTGTACATTTTGTAGCTAGTAGTTCAAAAGCTGAAAGACAGGAAGATCCTTATGGCCCTCAAACAAAAGAGGTAAATGGACGAACACATTTTGTCAGCATGCCAAGAAACTTCTACCAAGATTATACTCAAGACTCTTTCAATATACAAGATGGGAATTCTCAGTATTGTAATTCATCAGGATTTATTTTCACAAAAGAGCAGCCTGTAACAACCAACATGTATTTTGACAGTGGGAACCCTGCCCCAAGCAGCACACCCCAACAGGCAAACTGTCAGCCTCCTCCAGAGCCTTCTCCTTCACAGATGTATCCTGAGTCGGTGGTTGCTGAAAAACAGTATTTTATTGAAAAGTTAACAGCAACTATCTGGAAGAACCTTTCTAATCCAGAGATGACTTCTGGATCTGATAAAATTAATTATACCTACATGCTAACTCGTTGTATTCAGGCGTGTAAGACAAATCCTGAGTATATATATGCTCCTTTAAAAGAAATTCCTCCTGCTGATATCCCCAAAAGTAAAAAACTTCTCACAGATGGTTATGCTTGTGAAGTTAGATGCCAAAATATCTATCTAACTACAGGTTATGCAGGGAGCAAGAACGGGTCCAGGGATCGAGCTACTGAGCTAGCTGTAAAACTATTACAGAAGCGGATTGAGGTTAGAGTTGTCCGGCGGAAATTCAAGCACATAATTGGAGAGGACCTTGTAGTATGTCAGATTGGCATGCTTTCATATGAATTACCCCCAGCTCTGAAGCCACCAGAAGACATGGTAGTACTGGGAAAGGATGCTTCAGGGCAGCCTATTTTTAATAGTTCTGCCAAACACTGGACCAATTTTGTCATTACAGAAAATGCAAACGATTCAATTGGCATCCTTAACAATTCTGCCTCGTTCAACAAAATGTCAATTGAGTACAAGTATGAGATGATGCCAAACCGTACATGGCGGTGTCGAGTATTCCTACAAGATCACTGCTTAGCTGAAGGTTTTGGAACCAAGAAAACAAGCAAGCATGCAGCTGCTGACGAGGCTTTGAAGATTCTGCAAAAAACACAACCCACTTACCCATCCGTCAAAAGTTCCCAGGGCAACTCAGGCTCTTCACCTAGAGGATCTGGAAAGAAGAAAGATATAAAAGATCTTGTGGTTTATGAGAATTCTTCCAATCCTGTGTGCACATTGAATGATACAGCTCAGTTTAACCGAATGACAGTTGAATATGTCTATGAAAGGATGACAGGACTCCGCTGGAAATGCAAGGTGATTCTAGAAAGTGAAGTCATTGCAGAAGCAGTTGGGGTGAAGAAAAGTGTGAAATATGAAGCTGCTGGAGAAGCTGTGAAAACCCTCAAAAAGACCCAGCCAACGGTCATCAACAACTTGAAGAAAGGGACTGTTGAAGATGTGATTTCAAGAAATGAAATTCAGGGTCGCTCAGCAGAAGAAGCCTACAAACAGCAAATCAAAGAAGATAACATAGGAAATCAACTGCTGAGAAAGATGGGTTGGACAGGTGGTGGTTTAGGGAAATCTGGTGAGGGCATACGGGAGCCTATCTCCGTCAAAGAGCAGCATAAACGAGAAGGACTTGGACTAGATGTAGAGAGGGTCAATAAAATTGCTAAGAGAGATATAGAACAGATCATCAGAAACTATGCCCGCTCTGAGAGCCACTCAGATTTGACCTTCTCCACAGAGCTGACCAATGATGAACGGAAGCAAATACATCAGATTGCTCAGAAGTATGGCCTGAAGAGTAAGTCTCATGGGGTGGGCCATGATAGGTACCTAGTGGTGGGTAGAAAACGGCGGAAGGAAGACCTACTAGATCAGCTCAAACAGGAAGGCCAAGTGGGACATTATGAGCTTGTCATGCCCCAAGCAAATTAAGATTTTACTGAATTATCTTGTAAATGGCACATGAGGCATATCTACAAATAAAAAAGCTACATATTCCGGTTGAAGAGTATTCATTCTTAAGATGTTTCACCTTGTTCATTTCATATAGTGCTTTATTAGGTATTGGAACCTGGAGAATTCTGTCCACTTGTATGAGCTTAACCCAGCATATGGATTATGCAGTTACTGTTTGTGTCTTTCATATTGCTCTGTCCCTCAGATTTTAGTAGTTTGTACAAGCAAAAACACCCATCTAAGTGCAATTTCATCCTGAGGAAAATAATTCACATTATAAAGGCATAGCACAGCAATCTGCAACAATATATAAAGTCAATGCTGACTCTTAATTAAATTACAGCTAATTCCAGATTTACTTAAAATGTCAGGTCATTTTGTATTACCAATTTTCATCTTTGTGTGAAGCCAGTTATAGAACATTTAACAATAAATTGTGCTGTACATATAAATGTCCTTACCAACTAAATGATGTAAAGCTTTCTTAAAAGTAATTTTAATGTATGTTTATTTATAGCTTCTACCCTGTGATTTCCAGGATATTAGAAGTGGTTTACTGTATCTTGTGATATATGACTTTTAACAAATCCTAGTCTTCATGCTGAGAGAGCACTACTTGAGAGAGATGTCCAAAAGTTTCCAAAAAGCCTTGATCCAATCAGAAGAAAGGAAGCTTGAACTGTTTGTTCTTGGTGCCTTGCAGAGAGACTCAGAGCAACTCTCCATTGTAGCTTTCACACAGTCCGTACACCACATCCAAGGCAACCACAGCTGTGGTAGAGCCTGGTAAAAGACTGAAGATACATTGGTGCTTTGATGAAAAGGTCAGTTGGCTGGTCCCTCTCTCAAAAAGCTTAGTACTCCCCAAAGCCAACTTTGTAACATACTTAAAACTGCTATTTTCACATATTTCTGGAATGTAAAAATGTATAAAAATAAAAGAGTTAGTGTATGCTTCCTGAATAAAAAGGAGCCGAAGTTGATGAAAATGGTGGTGTGCTTCTTTCTGGAGAGCAGCCTAGTAGCAACACTTTGGGTCTTTGGACAAAGGAAGTAATGGTTGCACAAAATATTTCAGTCAGAGCACACGGATAAATGTAATGATTTAGCAACTGTCACTCATTACATTTTTGTTTGTTTGTGGGGTTTTTCTTATGTGCCAGCATTCTGGCTTATCAAAACTTTGGTTGTTTACTTTTATGTGGTTTTATTGTATCAGATGAATTAAGTAAAACCTAGCAATAGGACAGATGAATATTAATATTGATAGTTAAACAACTCCAGAGAAATGGTCGTAAGGACTCATAGGTTGTTTGCCGTGTCCTTTAAAAAAGATTTATTTTTTATAATGTGTCTGTGGGAGGCATTATACGCATGTGAGTGCATATGCCTATGGAGGCCAGAGGTGTCAGATGGAGCTGGCAATACAGGCACTTTTGAGCCTCCTGACATGGGTGCTAGAGACTGAATTCTGGTTCTCTGGAAGAGCAGTATGTGCTCTTAACTGCTAAGCCATGTCTCTTCAGTCTCCATTTGCAGAGTCCATGTTTGGCTTGTAACTGGCCCACAATACATAGTAAATTCCTTTTTGCCTCCCTACTCCTTTTTCTATTTTATGCTAAGAAGGGAAAATGTGTATATAAGAATACAGATTAGCTTTTATACATGGACCTCCTGACTTACATGCACCTGTATTGGCTAGCACAGTACAGCATGAGCTTTCCACTCTTTTTCCATACCATAGTGTATATACTTTATTCGTTTTGGTTGAAGAGATGTACATTTTATTTTGGTGTGTAATACTCTAGCAAAACCAGAGAACTAGGGTAGAACCTTCATAGATTTTATGATTATAACTATTTTTTTACCTGCAAAATTCACTCTCATCTGGAAAAGTTGTGGTACGGGTAGTTAGAACACTGTCTTTGATTTTCTGGGTGACAAGAGATGGTTTTTAGAGATTACAAGATGTGAATACTTGGTTTGCTTCTCTCTTTACATGTCTTCCAAGATGATTTTTGTTGTTTGTTTTTTGTTTTGGAGGAAAATGGTAGAAAATCAGAAATCAGATTTGTTTATAAAAGCTCAATGGAACACATTCGTTACAGTTAAGGCTCTGTGATAATTGGGTAAAGAATATAGGAATTGGGTTCCTGATTTTGGTGAGCCAGATCGCTCAGTAGAGCAGCTTCCGTATTATTGTGGAAATAAGGCAGAGTCACTAACTGCCTGAGAATCATATGGAGAAATCAGGTTGACAGGAATGAGCTGCTGACAACCTTGCTGTTCATTTTCCAGTTTCCCTTTATTTGACCTTGCATTTTCGTTTCTTAGAAATAGAAGTCAGTTTTAGCCCAGAACTTTGCTATAAAACCAGACAGAATATGAGTGCTTCCAAGTTTTATTTGTATTGAATATGATAAGCTGAAAACTATATGCGTGTGTGTCTGTGATCATAGAGCCACTTTTTAACACACACCTCCCGCCCTTGATTGCAAAAGTCAATGGAAATATCTATCATACATTCCATTGGGGTGCTTTTTTTCTTTTCTTCTTTTCTAGTAGTATTCAATGTGTTTACTTTGCCATGAGTAATCCTTGAAGTGGGTCCTAAATAAAGGACTCTAATTACAACTTTGGTTCTTCAGCATACCCCCTTCCTCACATAAGCAGGTGCAGAATTGAAAATTTGGATCTCAAAAGGCACCTTGTAAATCTGCTTTAACATTCCTGTAATTACTTGCAGACAAGGCAAGCTGTGTTAAAAATTGTAAAGAAGAAAAAAGGGTAATTTGTATGAAATGTTCCAGTGAGTGTCTAGGTAGCTTTGGCTATGTCTATGTCGGCTTCAATTGTTAAGGTTGTAAAAGGATTATCCCATGAGAAATTGGAGATGGTGTTTCTCAGGAGGTGTACAAAATAAAATGTTACTAAATCGGCCTGTTCCCAGTCTCATCCTAAATTTTTCTTTTTTTTTTTTTTTTGTTTTTTGTTTTTTGTTTTTTGTTTTTACGAGACAGGGTTTCTCTGTATTGTTTTGGAGGCTGTCTGTCTAGCCCGGCCTCGAACTCACAGAAATCCTCCTGCCTCTGCCTCCCGAGTGCTGGGATTAAAGGCGTGCGCCACCACCGCCCGGCTAAATTTTTCAAATATTAACAGTGTCAATATTTAAGGTGCCCGGCCAAAACAGGGTAGTAAAAGTTAATTCAAACACCAAACAAAAAATTTGACGGGACTCTATTTTGAAACAGAAATGGACTTGAAAAGGAAATAATATTTGAGGACATCACTCCTAAGTGGAATAATGCAATTAATGTGGCATTTAATAGTGTAGATTGAACTTTCCCACAATGAGTTTTAAGTACCCTTCAAGGATGACTGAGATGCATCAGTCTTTTCCAACTATTAACAAAATACAGCATGTCATTGTCATAGTCTTATTAAAATGAGGTAGGTTGTTCCTTAGAAGAGAGCTTACTTGCATTTCAACATGTCAGAGGATACTTGTACTCACAAGCTTGCACAGAATTTAAACATTTTATATAAATTTTGTAGTATTTGGGGTTTATTCATCTTATGCATGTGCTGTGTGCCTGAGTATACATTTGTGCAGTACCCATGGACACCAAAGGGCATCAGATTCCCCTAGTATTGGAGTTACAGCAGTTGTGAGCAACCCAGTGTGGGTCCTGTGAACTGAAACGGGGTCTTCTGGAAAAAGAACAAGTGTTCTTAACCACTGAGCTGTCTCAAATTGTCTCCCACCTCCCCATTATTTTCCTTTGAGATGGAGTCTCACTATGTTACTGCCTGGCCTGGAACTTGCTCTGTAGATCAGACTGGCCTCAAACTTGAGAGACCCATCTGCTTCTGCCTCCCAGATGCTGGAATTAGAGGCCTAAACGAACATGCCCCACTAAGTGAGAAGATTTTTTTTAAAGATTTTATTTATTATTAATTATATGGCATTCTGTCTACAAGCCAGAAGAGGGTACCACATCTTGTTACAGGTGGTAGTAAACCACCATGTGGTTGCTGGGAATTGAACTCAGGACCTCCGGAAGAACAGCCAGTGCTCTTAACCTCTGAGCCATCTCTCCAGCCCAAGTGAGAAGATTTTTAAGAGGTGGATTGTCAAGATAAACAAATTGGAGTATAGTCTCTAGTAAAAAGACCTATCATTTCATTCTTTATTGCCTACAAAGTATACTGAATTAATAATTTATGTCACAATGTTTGAAAAGCATTAACACTAACTGAAAAGTTGAAAAAAGGTTTTCTAACAGTACTGGCCATCTATTTCCAGAAAAAGTTTTTGCTTTTGTTGTACTTATTTTTAGAAGGGAAGACAAGTAGATAGGAAATCCCTAAAAAACGTTAATAAAAGTGTGAACTAAATTTTAAGGTTATTTTTTATTTACAACTTTTGAAAATGTACAGTTTTTACATGGGTTACTTGTGCAAAGTTAGAAGTGCTGTAAATGCAAAAAGATTAACAATTAAAATATATTAGACAAAACATTTACAAGCCTTGCCCCATACTGTATATTTAAAAGTGTAAATATCCAAGGAAAAATTGCAGACGTGGGCATTAAGGGTCTCAAAACACTGAAAGCATGCAGCAATAACTCAGGATTTGAATGAGAAAAGTTTCCTAGAGATAGGTTCACTTCCTTGAATCAAAAAAAGAAAAGTTTATTTAGGGCAACAATGTTACTTTAAAAATATTAAGAGGATCTTCAGTTTTTCCTAACTTAGAAAAATTATATCTGGTCTGTTCTCAGGCCTCTTTAAATAGCACAAAGCTCTGAAGGCCAGGATTCTGATACATAGTGGGTTTGCACTCTAACTAACTTGCAAAAAGTGGAGTATGTCAGGTATTAAAATTGCTTCAGTTTGTTAGTTGGGTCCTTTAGCAGTCTCCTTGCTACCAATAAGTGCCATCTTGTAATTCATATTGCTTACAAATTGAGTATAGGATTTTTCAGTTTTCCTTCCCCTTTAAAATTATGTCTACGTGGATGCATTCCTGTTCTCTTTAGGTTGTATTCTAAATACATTGTTCGCCAAATTGAACATGAGGGAAGAACTGGCCAGGATGAAACACAGCAATCATTTTGTTACAAATGTCCTGGCTACCTGGCTATACATAACAGTTCATCTTTAAAAGCTTACTCTAAAAAGTACAGTAACCTGATAACTGCTTGGAGGCTGGAGATGAGATACAACAAAGGGACAGATGCAGTAGCAATGTTTGCAAGTAACCCAGGTACAGTACATTGGATTTCAAATGGTATCTCTGATGTCCCATAGGAGGACAGAAAGGGGAAGAACAATTTGACAATGGAAGACAGAAACAGCACAACAGCTATTTTGTTTTTAATAAAGTAAATGTAATGAATTAGGAATAAGAAGTTGATAAATGCATCAATATACATTTTTTCTTATGGCCAGCTTGCTCTATCCTGAGTCAACAGTCACGCCAGCTTTGTTCTACTATTGCAGAAACTCGCTTTTCATATTCCCGCTTGTTCTCCTGATACAGCTGGGCAGCCTGGCTGTTTGCTGGACTATTGGGATTAGGTTCGTCCAATAGAGACTATAGAGAAAAGATAAAAATGTCAGTTCTTTGATGCAACAAGACAAAAAAAATGTTGAGAACAAACAGCTGGTGACAGTATAGCTGTCCCAAATAGTTAAATTTTCTATCTTCCACATACTACTAAATTAAATTAACTACGAGTAGCTCATGCAAATATACATGCACATACACATATTTTGTGGTGACTTGTATTTTAATAGTCGACTGCCTTATATAATAAACTTGGTCCCAAAATGTAAAAGGTCAAAATAATCACTAATAACATCACCAATCATAATCACATTAAAAAGAAAAAAATCACCTGTATGGATGTTAAAATGGAAGACACATCATAGGTTGGGCTCCAGCGGTTCTGAAGTATATCCAGACATATACTACCATCTGCATAGACTTAAGAACACAGAAGTATGTGTGTTAAACACAAGACTACTAAGGTTTAAGCATATTCAAGACAAAAATGCTCAAGAATGCTTTCGAAGTTTAAAAGTTTCCTAGTTAAGAAGTGATATAATCACTACTTGGGAAATACAGTGATCAGTAAATAACATGGTATAAAAATGGAAGCTAGTGCTTATTCTAAAGGAACTGTCTTCCTGTTCAGGATATCATACATAACTTCAGTCGGTATCCTTCCAAAAATTGTGGGAAATTCCCCCACCAAATCTGAAAGCTATATGTTCTATTTGTAATATTAACAGCTTAACATTCACAAAGTTTTATTTTGGCATGAAGATGAAAATCTTAACACCATGAAAAAATATTAGAAAAAAGTAAAAGACAGAATCCTGTAGACTAGTAACAACACTTTTCTAACAAACTGTGCTAGGTCTTTTATAGACTCTTGTGTTTAGTGGCTTTAGAGTGGGACCACAGAATCCATGTATTCAAAATGTTCCATGGTAATTCAGATTTGCACCTGAATATCTGAGTGCTACATTACACGGTTACCCTAATTTGACCTGTCATTAAACAGAACCCCCAAAAGCATCCTTATTTTTGCTTAATAAGGAACAAAGGTCATAAAATCAGCAGACTGTTAAGACTCCAAGCAAAGGATTGTACCATCCTCTTGCATTTCTAGGACTAAAGATCAAGACAGTAGCCGGGCGGTGGTGGCGCACGCCTTTAATCCCAGAGGTAGGCGGATCTCTGTGAGTTCGAGGCCGGGCTGGACTGATAGCCTCCAAAACAATACAGAGAAACCCTGTCTCGTAAAAACCAAAAAAAAAAAGATCAAGATAGTAAAAAATATGAACAAATTCCATTTTCAGAGACAGGAAGATACCTAAGCAGAATACTCACAAGTACTTCACATAAACAACAGCAGTATTTGGAATACCACTGTAAAAAGCATTGTAGAACCTTGCAAGACCATGCTTAAAATACTTGCCATCAAAAAAGAACAACAAACAACAAGAAGAAGAAGCAGGCACTGGTAGTGCACACCTTTAATCCCAACACTCAGGAGGCAGAGGCAGGGGTATCTCTGCGAATTTGAGGCCAGCCTGGTTTGCAGAATGAATTCCAGGACAGCCAGGGCTGTTACACAGAGCAACGATGTCTCGAAAAACCAAAAATAAATAAATGGATGGATGGATGGCTAGATAGATGGATAGATAAATAAAATACTTGCCATTAGGATGGAACATCTTAGAGACAAATCTAACAGTAGGTGGTTTATTCGGATATTCTTCAGTAAATTCAATTGTAAGTTTAAATGTTCCTGTAGTTAAAAAGAGGGGGTAGGGAATTTTATTGATCACTTTTATTTTTTTCACATGTACTTGAGGTTTTTTTTCAATTATTAAATGAGATAACATAAAGACAGAGATATAGTATAGAGAGGAGACTAGTTAAGAAACACATCTCTGGGAAATGTTCTAAGAACCAATACCCAAAGGTGATTTAGTTATTTTCCCATAATTCTCCAAACATAGACAGTCACCATAAACAAAATTGCTGTTTGCTGTACAAAGTACAGTCATTATGTACTTTGAAAATAGCCTTCAAATGACAAGGTACTGGGCCCCAAATTTGACCTTCCTTTAGACTAAAAAAACTTGTGACTAGTGTTACAGTTCAGTGGGAGAACATTTGCCTAGCATTCAGGGGACCCTAGTTTTAACCTCCAGTACCCCTCAAGACCTCAAAGGCCTATTGCAATCAGCCATTACCTTAAAATTCTCTAATAGTCTCCAATAGACAAGACAAAAAGATTCCAAACCATTGCTAGAAATGCAAATCCACAATTGGGTTGTTAAATAAAATGAAAGACAGAAAAAATGTTTATTGGTTTCTTTACATGTAATAGTGATAATGATGAAAACTTAATTGAACTTAAGCCAGAACAAACTTTGCAGTGCCTGTCAAAACACTTCTGAGATTTAAGAAAGGAATTGGGCTTTTTTCCTGACTGAAATCTCTTTAAGTAAACTCAAGAATCAGTATAGAGCCTGATGAAATTCATGTACTTGCCAAGCAGCATCCCTGGAAACTAGATAGAGGTAGGAAGAACAAGTTCCAAAAACTTGGCTTCAGACTTCCACCCTGGCATGCATATAAATCTATCATAATATAAATGAATAAGTTATTATCTGGTTAGTATGCATGTGCATTACTATGGCCCATTTAATAAATTACTGGTTGATATGAAGTAGCGTACACCTTAGAGTATAACTTATTACTAATTCCTTTAGAGCTTGCAAGTTATTCCCTGTTGGCTTTCATTAATAGGTTTATTACTACTTAAGAGAAAATACTATAATCTTTCTACTGCTATATCTGACACATAACAACATCAACAATTTGATTTTCTACTACCAAGCTTATCTTGCTATAAATGTGTCACGAAATTCTAGAATAATTTAAAATATGGGGGTAGCAAGGTAGCTAAATAGGTAAGGGCATTTGCCACTAACCCTGACAACTTGTGTTTGATTCCCAGAATAAGTGAAGTGAGGTCCTGTGATTCCCACATGTATACCCACAAGCATACAGAAAAGAAATACTTAAAAATAAAAGAAAGCCTGTGAGTTCGAGGCCAGCCTGGTCTACAAGAGCTAGTTCCAGGACAGCCTCCAAAGCCACAGAGAAACCCTGTCTCGAAAAACCAAAAAAAATAAAATAAAATAAAAAATAAATAAAAGAAAGCTACAAAGTCTTTACATGCACAAAAAAAGAAGGAGAAGGAAGGAAGGAAGGAGAACTGCTTTTTAATGGAAATGTGGGCCTGGGAGTGTAACTCAATAAGAGCATTTTGTTTAGGTTGGTCCAGGCCCTCAGTTACATCCACAGCACAACAAAAATAGAAGTAAATGAAATATAACTGGAAACATACATTCCCGAACTACTGTCACTCAAGAAACTTTTCTTTTGAAGGCCATGTGTAAATACTATATAACAAAGCTTAAGGAAGCAAAACAGTAAGGAATGGGCATATTACAGGGCATCAGAGCATACATACTTCATGCTCATCATCTCCTGCTTACAAATTTTCTTTTTTGTTGTTTGAGATAGGGCCTCTCTATGTAGTCCTGGCTGCCCTGAAATTCCTTATGTAGGCCCGGCTGGTCTTGAACTGATAAAAGACTCATCTGCCTCTGCCCCTGAGTGCTGGGAGTAAAGGTATATTCTGCCACACCCAGCAATCTTCTTGAGAAGTAACGCACAGTCCTTCATGACTATGAAATGCATGAAAAGTGGAAATGGTAGGCCATATTCAACATTCAGAATTCTCTTATGTATAAACAGAACTGGATTAGTAATGATATCTCACGAGATTATAGGTAATGGATTTATGACCAAGAAACTGCTCTAAAACTGGAAAGGCTTAACAGCACACAGATACCCCAGCTGCCCTAAAATAAACCATCATTAAATGTGGTACCCAAAGTGGGTAAAACAATATACATGGGAAAGCAACAGCAAAAACACCACAATGGGTTTAAGAGTAAAAGCTCAGGGCTAGGTTCCCAACACACACATGGAAGCTCAGGGGGTCCCATGCCCTTTTCTAGCCTCCAAGGGCAATAGGCACACACATGGTACACAGACATGTGGTAAAACACTCATATCTTTGGTGTTGTGTTTGACTAAACTTCAAGTTTTTCATGTGCAAAAGAAGGCTAATAGTATCAACTGCTACAGTGTTACATGGTTTTAATGTAGCAGATGTGTATAGTCCTTCAAAGTTCTCCATAAATGAAGAATTACTTTAGCTGTAATTCTGCCTCACATATGTAGACCTGGCTGAATGAAAGAAAATACAAACTCTGAATTTTACTACCAATCAGAAATGCACAAGTAAATTCAGTTATTAAGCAGCACTGATTTCCTGTCACAGAGCAAACACATATATTCATAAGCTGAGTATATATGCAGTCAATTCAAATTCCTTTGCTGGAGCCCTCTGCCTAACTGGATCCAGTCTTTGTAAAAGCTTCATATATATTCAGAAGTGAAACAGCCTGTTTATATTTACTTGATTCAACTCTTATTCAATGTATACATTTCTTTTCAATTACATTAAATAAGCAGAACCTCTTCAGTAGAACCCTCAATTGCAATTTGTGAGATCTAAACAAATGTTAAGACAATTAAAAATCATAGGCTATTAAACAATTTTACACCAGAGCTTAGCTTCAGAGGGCTAGGTTCCAAAATAATGAAAGATTAGGCATCATCATTATGCATAATTCTACTGATTTTTACTGATTTTTCATCTTCCTAAAGAGGCCAAAACATTTTAAATACCAATAAACATGGAGGCCAAAAAATATATAGATGTGTTAAATATCTAGTATATGGCAATAAAGACTACCATAGTTGAATTTAAAAATGTATGTTCTGCCTAAAGATATAACACAGATTCAATGTTAAGGGTCTGGCCTGATGGCCTATGTGGCACAAACACCTCTAATCCTAGCACTTGGGAGGAGGAAGCAAGATCAGGAACTTCTTAGGTTCCTCTGCTCATCCTCAGCTATTTAATTTGAGGCCAGCCTAGACTACAAAAGACCCTGTCTCAAAAATCAACAAACAACAAAACAAAAAAGTTACAGACACACAAAGGAAAGAAGGAAGAAAGGAAGGAAGGGAGCAAGCAAGCAAATCCTGTTAGTCAAAGAAAAATTTCTGCTCCTGTTTGTCATTTGACTACTTAGGAGCCTGGAGAAAAAAGCAAAATTATATGTACTTAAAATTTTTTTGATGACTGAAAGAAAATTCTTTATCTCTCTTAGTGAACTTTAAGAGATACCTTTTATAAAAGATATACACCTTCAAAATTTTAAGGTTACATATACCATAAAAACTAATTTTGGATATGATAAAGAATATGTTCCATAATTTTTGTATTTAGCTTTAATATAAAGATACTTCAACAAAGTATTTCCTTACAATATTCTGGTAGTATAAGTCTTCTAGAATATATTTATCTCATCTTAAATATGTAAGGCTAAAGCAAACTACCTTTAAGAATTCTTTTTCTCAGGATTTTCTTTTTAACTAGGACCTGGTTCAGAAACATTTACCAAGGAATAAACAAAAGTTGTGTGAGGGCTTTTAATTTGGAAACACATTGGAGACAGAAGAATCAGCTGTCATTTACCTCTATTGAATCTCTTCCCTAATTACAAATTCTCCAAATGTAATTAAGAGTAATGAAAACAAATGGTCAGAATTTGTTTTTGCATGTCAGAGCTCTAAACACCCGAGTAAACATCCACGTATACTAGACTGTTTGACAGAATCAAAGATGGATACTGTCATTTAGCTTTCATCAATGCCAGGATAGAGACAGCTATACAAAACAAAGCCAGTAATGTTAAAGGCAACAGTCTCGGTAGATAATTGATTCCACAAGTACCTTTTTAATTCATACTACTTTAAACATCAGGAGCACCCTTGAAATTTTAAGTAGCCAGGCTCTAGCAAAATGATGTGCTATGAATAAAAAAACTGAGGAAAAGGGGGACAATTAAAATAAATCCCACTACATCAGTGGCTCTCAACCTGGGGGGTCATGATCCCTTTGGGGGGAAAATCAAAAAAACCTTTTTTTTTAAGGGTCACCTTAGACTATTAGAAAATACAGATATTTACATTATTATTCATAACAGTGTCAAAATTAGTTATGAAGTAGAAACAAAAATAATTTTATGGTTGGTAGTCACTATAAGATGAGGAACTGTATTAAACGGTCGAAGCATTAGGAAGGTTGAGAACCACTGGTCTACACATATAAAGAACTAGCACCAGCCAGGTGGTCGTGGTGCACACCTTTGATCCCAGCACTCAAGAGGCAGAGGCAGGTGGATCTCTGTGAGTTCAAGGTAAGCCTGGTCTACAGAACGAGTTCCAGGATGCCAGAGCTACATAGAGAAACTCTGTGTCAAAACAATGAAAATAGCACCAATCTAGTAGAGAAAAGTCTGGCTAGCTCTTACATTAAATTCATCAAACTAGTATGCCCTAGAATCACTCTCTCTTGTGTCATTTCTTTCTTTTTATTGCAGCATGGAACAGCAGCAGCAACTACCTAGTCAGTGAGGTAGAGAGAAAGCTAAACGTACTTTAGTGACTATCCATAGTTTCCTAAGGGTGTCTTAGTGTCTGAGACAAATTATAGAAAGGGCTGATCTTGACTTACTTCACAGCATTTTGCTACTAACAATAATGGGTCAGGCAATGGTAGTGCACTCCTTTAATACCAGCACTCAGGAGGCAGAGGAAGACAGATCTCTGAGTTCAAGGCCAGCCTGATCAAGTTCCAGGATAGCCTTGGAAAAAAATGAAATATTTTCGTTGTCACCTTTAAACTGAAGGGTGTGTCTATGTGTGTGTGCACATGCATATGTTGCTAAAGAAAGTCATTGAGAAAAATTACAGAAAAGTTTTTTAAGTACCCCCAAACACTAAAGAATTTCATGAACTCAAATAATTTTAGTCATCTTTTAAATGAATTAAAACTTAAAAGACTCAAAAAAAAGTTTCTATCACTGTCAATTCTGACTGTGATACTGTAGTATATATAGTCATTCAAGAGACGACCAAATAGGGGACATGGGAGTGGGGTAAGTGAAGAGTTTACAAGCACTTGTTGTAGTATTTCAACTGCACACGCATTTGTAACTATGTCAAAATAGAAAGGGGTTTTTTCTTTGTTGCTTTATTTTTTGAGACAAGGTTTCACTATGTATCCCTGGCTGGCCTGGAACTAGTAGGCTAGACCCGTCTTGAATTCACCTGCCTCTACCACCTCTGCCTTCCAAGTGCAGGAATTAAAGGCACAGGACACCATGATGGCATTCAAAATATAAAGTTTTTGAAGAGCACTTAATGTGGGCTTTTAAAAGTTAAACCTTAATTGTTTACAAGTTATACACCTCTTGATACAAAGGTATCGTTCAAGTATGCTGGACACTGGTCAAAGGGGTACTACTGTAAGGCAAACCTCAACTCTGGAGTTGCTTTAAAATTACTAATCAGAGATCCCTACAGCTGTGCTGGCGCATGCCTTTAATCCCAGCAATCGGGAGGCAGAGGCAGGCGGAACTCTGTGAGTTCGAGGCTGGGCTGGACCGACAGTCTCGAAAACAATACAGAGAAACCCTGTCTCGTAAAAAAAAAAAAAAAACAGTCAGGCAGTGGTAACGCATGTTTTTAATCCCAACATTCAGGAGGCAGAAGCAGGCGGATCTCTGTGAGTTTGAGACTAGCCTGGCCTACAGAGCAAGTTCCAGAACAGCCTCCAAAGCCACAGAGAAACTCTATCTTGAACCCCCCCAAAAAAATTACTAATCAGACATCCTAATTAAAAGCACACACTGTAAATGAATTTCAAATCCAGGAATATTATACTATTGTAGCACATATTACATATAGCATGCTATATATAACATAATATATATAATATAATATATATATGTGGCATTTAAGAGCATCCTTAAGACTCACAGTGAGGCTGCTGTGCCTTCTATGTCGTATTGCCAGTACTCAACAAAGCACACACTAAGCAGTGCCGAACACAATTCTTGCCCTTGGGATGGAATGAATGCAGGACCAGATGGTCTCCGGTGGACTGGTTTCCTACTGATTTACCTCCATGGGGGCTGAATTTAGCAGGCCCATTGCTCAAACCTCCACAATCTTTAACGCCAGTGCTGTGGCAGTTCTTTTACAAAGTGACTTTTCCCCCAGAATGTGTTAAACGTAGGAAAGCGCCTGGAAAAGTGCAGTTCTGGTTAAGCGTAAGCCTCCCCAGAACCCACTACACACTGGTTTCCAGTAGGCAGAGGAAGCACAGCAGGTTCTTTAAGCAGGGGGCGCTTGCTAATGACAGGAACACCTTCCTAGAAGGTGGGTAAAGAAACTCTTACCATCCTCAAATGGGGTCCCTTCAGGCCTGCAACACAGAGAAACAAAATCAAACAAAACCCAGTTAGCGACCGCCGACAGGGTCCCGTTCTGGCCGGTGCCTTTGAGGAGGCGGCTCTGTCAAGCGCTCCCGTCCCCGCCTCCCCTCCATCACGTCTGTCGGTGCCGCGAAAGCCACTCCACTCCCTCCGTTTGGGGCTCGGGAGGAAACGCAGGCCGCCGCCGGGTCGGCCTCCACCACTCCCCACCCCGCCCCCCAGAACCCCAAATGCTTCCCCCGGCAGCGGGAAGGGAGCTAAATCGAGACAGAGGCTCCGGGGAGGCGCCTAGGCCCAAGCAACCCCAAATATCTCGCCGTTTGGCCGCGCGGCTCGCTGAGGGGCCGGCCCGGGTCCCTCATCCGCCGGCAGCGGCCCGAACGCGCACTCACCCAAAAATGACCGCGTTCCAAACCAGTATGTTGTTCTCCGACGGGGCTCCGCTCACTCCGGCCGGAGGGTCCTCTTGTAACCTTCAGAAACACACACCGGGTCCCCTGAGTCCCGCGAGCCGCCACCGGCCCCCCGTCACCACACCCCGAGCCGCTCCGTTTCGGGATCCGCCCTGTGCCCCGGCAGGCAGCCCCCTAACCGCCTGTCCCTAAGTGACGCCGCCGTTACCTCTTGAAGTCCCTCATGAGGCGCCGACGAGCCGGGGTCGACATGTCTCTAGCGGGCTCAGAGGTGGGGCATATACCAGAGTCTCCGGTCCCGGAGGAAGCTGAGGACGCCGAAGCAGCCGAGGAAGCCCCGAGAGGGACAGCGCTGCCTCTCCGGAGTCGAGGGTCGGTCTGGCGCCGGCTAAGCACCACCCCTGAGTAGACGGGGGCTGAACCAACCTGAGGAGAAAGCGGGGGGGTGGAACGCCTTAAACCGGACAGGCCGTACCAAGACGCGAGGCGGGGGGGTGTCGAAAGTTGTTAGGTCACTTGAGCCCAGCCTGAAAGCCCCCTAGGGCCATTGGGGAGGTGGCGGCCAAGTTCTCAGAGAAAGGCTAGCCTGGGAGCAAATGCAAGTCTTCAACCCAAGGGGACTTAACAAGGGGACCGCTCTGGTTCCCCTTGCTGATTTGAAGACGAACCCTGTGAAGTTTTGGTTTTATATTTACTTACTTTTTTTTTTCTTTTTTCTTCTTTGGGACCGGGTACCCTGTAGGCCAGGCTGACCTCGAACTCACAGTGTAGTTGAGGATGACCTTGAACTTCTGCTTTCATCTCCCAAATGCTGGGATTACAACAGTATGCCACCATGCCAGTGTTTAATTACTTCTTATTTTATTATAGGCTCCCCGCCCCATCTTTTCTCCTTTTTTTTTTTTTTTGTAGTTTTGGTCTCTTACAATAGTATCCAATGTAACACTGACTAATTCAAACTCACAGTGAATCCCAGAGGCTGGCCCTTGAAGTCACCTCAGCCTGCCAAGGTCTGTGATGACAGGAATATGCCTCCACCCCTGGCTTCTTTTGTTTTGAGAAGCAATAATTTATTCTAGTGCCAACTACTGTCTAGGATGGAGGAAAGAGGAGAGAAGTTGAAAGAGGAGAAGAGTTGGCAGAAGAAAAGCTGTCCTCAAAAGGCATGAATGTTAGGGTCACAGTCCTGCAGACACAGGAGGCTGGAGTAATGGTTAAAAGTGGGGGCAAATTAAAAATAAAGAACTAAATGGGTCTTGACTATGAAAATGGACTCTGTGTCCTTTTTATTTGGGATGAGGGTGCACAATTCAATCCCAACACTTAAGCCTGGGGTTGAATGAAACACTGTTGGGGTGGTGGTTGAAATGAGAGCTTTGGGCAGATAAAATGGACGTTTTACAATTGCTCTGGGCACTCACAATTTGTCTCTGGAACCACATTTCCCCTTGGCAATTCAACAAGCCAAGCAGCTAGTTTAGAAGAGTCCAAGGTATGAGATTATCCAGCTGCAGGGCCTTGCAAGGACAGAAGGTCAGAAGGAAAGGCAATGGTAGGTGCACGTGGAAAGCTGTGACTTGCACGGAAGGTTCTCAGGGAGGATAGGGACCTGCAAAAGCAATAACAGTTTGAAAGAAGCGTTTTTAAAGAGCATTCTAAAAACCACTTAGTAAACAGGCAAGATACACATCTGAGAATGATGGAAATTGTGAGAAAGGCAGGTTTGAGTTAAATCCCGGAGAGTTTTGAATGACGAGCTAATGGGATCCTTGGAAGGTGGTTGAGTAGGACAGTGACACCATTAGAGCTGTACTAATCAGGATTTGCTCCCAAGAGAGCATCTGCAGGGCTCTTGTGATACTGGGGGGAGAGAGACACCATACCAGGCAATCCCACCTCCCAGGGGCCAACCACATTCTTTACCATGGAACCTATTACAACTTCAAAGTCTTCAACAGAGATTCTTGCTCCCTTTAAACCCTGCTCACACTTTGAATCTTTCTCTCTCTCTCTCTCTCTCTCTCTCTCTCTCTCTCTCTCTCTCTCTCTCTCTCTCTCTCTCTCTCGCACTTGGCAATAGATTGAATGTGGTGGCAAGAAGTAAAAAGTGCCTGAATCTTTAAGCCCCAAGAAAAGTGGAGATTTGAAGTGTCCATTAACAGAATTACATATAAAGGGTGAAGGAGACATTTGGGAGAAGACATTTTGAGTGGGACTTTCTGAGCTCCTGGGACTGATGAGACATGCATGTGAAGGTGTCCAGAACTCATCAGATGCACAGCAGAATTTGCTTTTAGCCCAGGAGGTAGAAAGCACATGCCAACAGTAATGGTTTTGCTAGGTGCTTAACAAGTACCTTTGGAGCAGACAATTGTTATTTCCCATTAACTCCAACATATCAGTTAAAGCAAGTGTCCAGCACAGCATCATGTTATGCCTGTGATGGGAAAAGGTTACAAAACCAAATTTCAAAAAATCCTTTCCCCTTGTCTAGGAACTTGAAGTCTTCTACTTCACACATATGACATCAGCAAAAGCAAGGCCTGCAAAAACAAGAGCATTTGCTCTCAATCAGTGCTCAACCCATTACCATGAACTAACTGGAGGCCAAGTCCAGCTCCTTGTGGTTGTGGGAATGAGAGGCCTATCTCATTAGTGGCTGCCAAATTGGGACCACTCCCAGCTCCCTGAGGCCACCCCTCTCCCCGTTCTTTGCTATGTGACCTGCTCTCCTTTTAGTCACAAACACAGTATTTCTCTCTCATTTGCTCCTCACATTTTGAACATTTTTCTTAAGGGAGAACCCAGTGTACTTTCTCTAGCTTATCTCATTAGGTCAGACCCAACCTTGATAATATCTATGTCTTAAAAATCCTCTAACTTCAGGTTCTAGATACTCTTTTCAGAGGGCTGCAGTATTATAGCTCAGTCGTTGAGTACTAGCCTAGCATGTGTAAGACTCTGTCCCCTCCCCAGTACTGAAAGAAAGAGAGAAAGAAAGAAAGAAAGAAAGAAAGAAAGAAAGAAGATTGTTCCATTTCTTCACTGAAGAATCTAGATTAAATGTTTGGTTTAATAGCTAGGCAAAGATATGTGAGTGCAACAAGGACCAAGAGTCTTTGTAAAGAGTGGCATTATACAACCCTACCTTCCACAGCAAGAGTGAGATATCTACTAGATGCATGGGAATCCCTCCGTGTTGAGAAATTGCACCACCAAAGGGCCATTAGTCTAGTGGGGTCAAGACAAGTTTTCCTGAAACAAGCCCATTGCAGTTTTGTTGTAAAAGAGACAAAATCCAAACTGTTTGTGAGGATACCAACATTAACAAGTGCATGGAGCGAAACTATCTTCTGGACAAGTGGGCAGCCTGGCTTGGTTAGTAGAAGAGGCTCATGTATTCCATTTGTTGCTGTTTGCAGCAGGATGTGAGACAAGGTCTTACTCTATAGCCTGGGTGGTCCTTGAAATGGCTGTGTTATGTAGCCTTGGCTGGTGTCAGGCTCAGGGCAGTCTTTGTGTTTTAACCTGTTGGGTGCTGAGATTACAGGTGTGACCCATCATACCTAGCATGGGAGAGGTTCTTCACAGAGAAATAATGAAGCCTCAGCTTGGAATGTCAGGAGTGGCAAAGTTGATTAAATGCCCTTAGATGCAAGGATGGGGGATTTCAGCACCATAAGCAGTTTTTGTGAGAGTTTGAGCACAAGAGAGAAAGAGGTACTGTTGAGAATATATACTGTTGAGAAGCATCATGCAAGCTGGGCATGGTGAATAATGTCCAGTAATGCAGCATCGGGGAGGCTGAGGCAGACGGAGTGAGTTCAAAGCCAGCCTGGGTTACATAGTGAGATTGGGAAGAAGAGAGAAAAGGGAGTGAGGAGAAAGGGGAAAGAGAGGGAAAAGGCTGGGGATCTCTCCTGAACGTCTAGGAAAGGGATACTTTATTGACTGGCTATTAAGCATCTGAAAGTAATTACAAGATACAGTAGACATGTTTAAATTTTCTGTGGGCTTGTCTATTTTTCTTAAGTTCCTTCTCTTCCTTTCTTGAACTACATAATCAAGACAACTCAAGGGCCTGAACCAAAGTAGTTTGCAAGCCCAAGACACCTGTCTGGGAATAATGTCCTCTGACTGAGGAATGGAACTGCATCCTGAGAACACTGTGTCCCCCATACTCCTCATCAAAGAAAGGTTGTCATAGCAAGTGTTAACACAGAGTTGTTTTCCAGCACAGATGATTTTCAGGCCAGAACAAATTGCCTACGGTGCAGTTAGCCAAGCATTCTTTCACCCCCATCTCACCTCGACGTCTTGAAGAAATGCCCTGTTCACAGCCAAGGGCTTCCCTCTGCCTGGCAGCAGAAGGTCATTCACTCACTCTCATGGACGGACCCATTAGTTCCCTGACTTTCATCAGAGATGGAAATTGAGTGTTTCTGATTTGCCCTGCCAGCTGCAGTTCTACAGCTTGGCAGTTAAATTTCTTAGAGCTCAGGGCTGAGACTGAAAGTGTTCCAAAAGAGAAGCACCACACTTCACATCTGTTAAAGAGCACCCAGTGGTTTTTTAAAATATCTTTTGCTATATACTTGATAAATGATTCTTTTTATGATGTTTGTGTCTTCATTGTTTTTATATTTATTCAGTGTGTGTGCGTGCACTTGTAGGAGCATGACTGAGATGTGTTGGGAGTGAGGAGAGTTTGGGGGGAATGAGGGGTGGATATGATCAAAATACATTAAATATGTGTATGAAATTCTCAAAGAATAAATAAAAATATTATTTAACTATTTTTTTATTTTTTGAGACAGGGTTTCTCTGTATTGTTCTGGAGGCTGTCCTGGAACTCGCGCTGTAGACCAGGCTGGCCTTGAACTCACAGAAATCCACCTGCCTCTGCCTCCCGAGTGCTGGGATTAAAGGCGTGCGCCACCAACGCCTGGCGTATTTAACTATTTTTAAAACGTTTACCTTCTTATATAAATTTGCAACAAATTTGCACAGATTTCAGTTCCAACAGAATTTTCCAGGTCATAATACAAGTGCAAAAACCTGTGTATTTCAAAATTTAATGTAACTGTACAATTAAGGAACTTCTATTCAAACTTTACTGAACGTTATTAATCTGCAATGCCGGAGCATGTTACAAGTTAAATGTCTTTGATTCCCTGCACTGAAGAAAAAGAATGAACCCCAAAAATATAAATGAGGGCTGGAGAGATAGCTCAGTCTAATTGCAGTTGAGAGCTGTAGAATCTTTCACAGAGGCCGGTGGATTCAGTTCCCAAAGGCAATTCACAACCTTCAGGGTGTCTGACGCCCTCTTCTGACCTCCATGGGCACTACCACACATGTGGTGCACAAACATAGAGGCAGGCAATTTTTTTTTGGTTTTTGAGACAGGGTTTCTATGTGTAGCCCTGGCTGTCCTAAAACTCACTCTGTAGACCAGGCTGGTCTCAAATTTACAGAGATCCGCCTGCCTCTGCCTCCTGAGTGCTGGGGTTAAAGGCATGTGCCACCACTGCCTGGCTACATAAAAAATTTAAAAGAGTATAAACTAATAGAATTCTTTAAATGCCTTCTTGGGGATGAATATCCCTAATTAAAATAATATACAAAACAAAACTATAAAGGATTGTGATTCCCTACGATTTTCATTAATATTTCTCTTATACTAGGGTCTAGGTGTGTAACTTAGTACAAGAGTACTTTCCTAACATGCACAAAGACCCAGGCTCAATTACTAGCAACCCAAGAAAACAAGAAGAATGGTTTTGTTTTGTGTGTGGTGCTTGCCTGTATTTCTAGCACTTGCGGTGCTGAAACAGAGGGATTGTGAGTACAAAACTAGCATGAGCTAGAGAGGAAGCTTGCTGCCAAGCCTGACAATCTGAGTTCTGTTCCTGGGACCTACCTGAAGTTGTCATCTGACTTGTGGTGTGCGCGCACACACACACACACACACACCACCACCACCACCACACATACCATACACTAAAATTGAAAATTGAAGACTGGAGAGGTCATAGGTCCAAGGCACCTGTCTAATTGGAATCTACTTATTTATATTTCTGTTCATAGAGTGATGCAGCTGTCAACTTTGGTCGGTGAAGCTTCTTTTTGCAGTGGGTAGTGATTACTTCAGACTCATACATGATCAAAATGCTGAAGATAATGTTGGCGGCTCAGTCCTAAATGGAACATCTAAACCACCCACTTCAGGACTGCAGAAACATCCCAAAAGAAAGGGTAAGAATATGAGTTGAAGGAAGGGTTGGGAGTGATTGGCATGATTTACCATTCTTTTGAACTCCTGGCAGCTGTGATTACTTGCACAATATTGCACCCATGACCATCCTGTCATGGAGGGGAAGGGACTCGTGAGATCTCACCCTTTCTTGAGGAGATGTAGGCAGTTAATGGTTGACTGGTAAGTTGCTATACTCTTATAAGTAAGCCCTCATTCACAGTCCTGTAAGTAACTCTGAAGAGGGAGAGGACCAGTGGAGGTGGGAGAGGGACAAGATAGAGTAGTGAGGGTGAATATGACCAAAACACATTAAATACATGTATGAGAATGTCACAATGAAATCTACAATTAAGCAGAATTACTGTATGTTAATAAAGTTATAAATAATTTTGCTATGCACATTAGTGTTTTGCCTGCATTCATACATGTGCACCATGAGCATGCCTCGTACCCTTGGAAGCCAGAGGGTGTTGAATCTCCTAGAACTGGAATTACCAGTGGATATAAGCTACTATGTGGGTTCTAGGAATTAGACCCAAGTCATCTGGAAGAGCAGCCGGTGCTCTTAACCACTGACCCACCTCTACACACACACACACACACACACACACACACACACACACACACACACACACACACAAACCTATAAGTAGTCTTATATTTATTTTATAAGTCCCTTTTTCTTTTTCTTTTTAAAGATTTACTTATTTATTATGTATACAAGCCAGAAGAGGGCACCAGATTTCCTTACAGATGGTTGTGAGCCACCACGTGGTTGCTGGGAATTGAACTCCGGACCTCTGGAAGAGCAAGCAGTGCTCTTAACCACTGAGCCATCTCTCCAGCCAGAGTCTTATATTTTAAATAATACATCTTCACTGAAGGGCTGTTAAACTGCTTTTAAATTCCAGTTGGTGTATACCCTGTGTTCCTCTATTCACAAACTCCTGCAGTCTTCAGTAAGGGCTCTCTTTGAAATAAAATATTTCAGTGCTGACACTTGTATTATTGAAGTTACTCAATGCGAATTGTCTTGATGTATTTATTATAAGTTTCCCCAGGCATCTATCCTCCAGAAAGAGAATGTTGGCAGACTTTCTGGGTTGGAGAAGGAAGGATGAAAGACGATCCCTCACACATAGGACAAACAAGACAAGCAAGGTTCCTCTAACCACATGTCATTTGCATGATTAAGACTACATGATTAAGGCTTAGTATCCAAAACATATCAAGGACCTGGGCTCGATCTCCAGCACTGCAAGAACTCTTACAAGTCAATAATAAATAGACTAATTAAAAGTGGGCAAAGGGGCTGGAGACATGGCTCTGAGGTTAAGAGCACTAACTGCTCTTCCAGAGGTTCTGAGTTCAATTCCCAGCAACCACTTGGTGGTTCACAACCATCTATCATGAGATCTGGCGCCCTCTTCTGGCATGTAGGCAAATATGCAGACAGAACACTGTATATGTAAAAAATAAGTAAATAAACATTTAAAAAAGTGGGCAAATGATGTGAGTTGACTTTCATTCAAAGAAGATATATAAGTGACCAATAGGCATATGAAAAAATGATCAACATCATTAATTATCAGGAAAATACAAATCAAAACCACAATGAAACACTACTTTATACCCACTAGGATGGCTAAAATAAAAAAGACTGAGAATGGGGACTTGAAAGATAGGTAAGCTGTTAAGAGTACTTACTACTCTTGCCAAGGACCCTAGTTTGATTCCCAGCATCCATATCAGGCAGTTCACAACTGCTGGTAACTCAGCTGCAGAGCAGGGCATCTGATGTACCCTTCTGGCTTTCACAGACATCCACATGTTCATGCACATACACATAGAGAAATAATAAAATAAATAACAGAAAATAATAATGATTGGCAAGATTGGAGAGAAATAAGAACCTTGTACACTGCTGATAGGAATGTAAAATTGTATACTTCTTCGAAAACCTTGGTAGGTTCTCAAAAGATTAAATATAGACTTGCACCTGATCTAACCATTTCACTACTAGGTATACAACTGCAAGAAGTGAAAATAAACATCCTAATATGACCTGCAAACACATGACTATTGTAACATGTATGTGAATGTCCATTCCAGCATTATCTATAATAACCAAAAAGTGGAAACAAGGCAAATGACAACCGGTAATGCTCAGATAAAAAAATGGTACATCTGTACAATGAAATACGATTTAACTATAAAAAGGAATTACCTTCTATAATATGAAAAGGAGGCAGGCAATGATTAGTAATGGCATGAGGTTTCCTTTTGAGATGATAAATATGTTCTGGAATTAGATAATGGCATTGGTTGCATAACTTTGACTAAACTATTACCAAATTAACTTTTTTTTCTGAGACAGGGTCTCACTGTGTGCATTTGGTTGGGCTGAGACTCAGCAAGGTCTGCCTGCCTTTGCCTTTTGAGTATTGGGATTGAAGACCTACAACCATGCCTGCCTATTAATACACTTTCAAAAATGAATTAGATATTATTTGAGTTTAATCTTTTAAAATTATTTATTTACTCTCTCTCTCTCTCTCTCTCTCTCTCTCTCTCTGTGTGTGTGTGTGTGTGTGTGTGTGCATGCACACACCACAAGTCAGATGACAACTTGAGAGAGATTGTTCTTGCCTTCCATCATGTGGGTCCTGGAGATGACATTTACGTCATCAGGCTTGGTGTCAAGCACTTTTACCCACTGAATTCCTTCAGTGCTCAAGTTGAATTCTAAGAATTTGAATTGTTTTTTTAATAAAGAAGCTTCAGCTGGTCACTATGATGCATGCTTGTAATCTCAGTACACAGGAAACAGAGGGAAGGGGGTTATGAGGTCAAGGCTACCCTGTACTAGATAATGAAATTGCATTAGAAAAAAGAAAGGCAGCACTTGGGAGGCAGAGGCAGGCGGATCTCTGTGAGTTCGAGGCCAGCCTGGTCTACAGAGCGAGTTCTAGAACAGCCTCCAAAACAATACAGAGAATCCCTGTCTGGAAAAACCAAAAAAGAAAGAAAGAAAGAAAGAGAGAGAGAGAGAGAGAGAGAGAGAGAGAGAGAGAGAGAGAGAGAGAGAGAGAGAGAGAAGAGAAAGGAAGGAAAGAGAGAGAGAAGAAGGAAGGAAAGAAGGAAGGAAGGAAGGAAGGAAGGAAAGGAAGGAAGGAAGGAAAGGAAGGAAGGAAGAGGTGGCGAAATATCTGAGCAAGTTAAGAACACTGGTGCTCTCCCGGAGGACTCTGGTTCTAATGGACCCCCATGGCAACCCCCAATCTTCTGTAATGCCAATTGCAGAGGATCCAAAGCCTTCTTCTGGCCCCTGTGGATGCCAGGCATGACATATATACAGGCAAAGCACTAGTACACATAAAATTAAAATATTAAAATTTTAAAAATGAAGAAACAAAAAAGGAACAGGGCTGGAGGATAGCTCAGTGGTAGAATGCTTGTCTAGTATATGCAACATCCTATGTTTAAACCCCACTACAGCAGAAAAAAGGTTCTATTTCATTAGGTACTCATTTTGAATACCCCAATAAAATAAAAATATTTACAGGTATATTTAAAATCTAGGTTTTTAAATTTATTTATTTATTTATTACACATAGTTTTTTATCTGTGTACATGCATGTACTGCAGGAGAAGGCATCAGACCTCATTATAGATGGTTGTGAGCCACCATGTAGTTTGCTGGGAATTGAACTCAGGACCTCTGGAAGAACATGTAGTGCTCTTAACCTCTGAGTCATCTCTCCAGCCCCAAAAATCTAGGTTTTATGTGTGTGTGTCTCTCTCTGTGTGTAATGTATAGTTCTTAATTATGTCAGGTTTTACATAAATTCTTGAATTATTTATGGTCCAGAGAGATGACTCTGTAAAAGTGCTCAAAATCTGGCCGGGCAGTGGTGGCACACGCCTTTAATCCCAGCACTCAGGAGGCACAGGCAGGCGGATCTCTGTGAGTTTGAGGCCAGGCTGGACCGACAGCCTCCAAAACAATACAGAGAAACCCTGTCTCGTAAAAACCAAAAAAAAAAGTGCTTAAGATCTGAGCTTCATCTTTTGAGATTCACAAAGTGGAAAGAAAGAATAGAATCCGGAAAATTGTCCTTTAACCTCAACACACACACACACACACAATAGCGCATTAATAAATAAAAACAAACAAATATTGATGACTGCTTAGAAATAAAAATAATTTAAATAATACTGAGAGTGTCAACAACTAAAGTTGTCCCAACTAACTGCACAGCCAGGGGACCTTCTGTCAACTCAGCAGCCTCCCCCCCTGCATTTTAGCGAGATGGGACGTTCCGGAAGTTAATCAGGCCGGCACCAACACGTGACCAGGGCGAAGAAACCGTCCTACACGTGCGTCTGTGACGCCATCTCGGCGCGACTCTTCATTTCCTTGGAGTTTTCAGGCTACTCCGCCGGAGCTATGCCGAAAGTCGTATCCAGGTCGGTGGTCTGCTCAGACACCAGGGACCGCGAGGAATATGATGACGGCGAGAAGCCCCTCCATGTCTACTACTGTTTGTGCGGCCAGATGGTCCTGGTCCTGGGTGAGTGGCGGGAAACTGCGGCTGCAGCTAGACGTCAGGCTTTTTTTGACTCAAGATCTTATTAAGTTATTCAGACCGAACTTGATCCTAAAGTAGTTTAAACTGGCCTGGACCTTGCCGCTGATCCTCCTGTATTACAGGCGAGCAAACCACTCTAGGCTCAGGATATTTTTCAGTGGTTCTAAGCGACGAAATCTTTCTTCATTCCTTCAGATTGTCAGCTAGAGAAATTGCCCATGAGGCCTCGGGACAGGTCTCGAGTGATTGATGCTGCCAAACATGCTCATAAGTTTTGTAACACAGAGGATGAGGAGACTACGTATCTTCGGAGGTAAGGGCTTGATGCTCTGTCTAGTTCCCTGCTGTGTTGAGAATTGTTTCTGAAGAATATAAATTTTTCTACGTAGTGTTGAGCAGCTCACAAACTTCGGTCTGATAATTTTACATTTGTGCTAGTATTCTGACTTATGTTAATGCAGCAAATTCTTTATTGTATTTTGTTGAAATGGCACTGAATTTGATTCTCTTGGCATTTGATAGCTGTGATTTTTCCAATTACAGGTTTGAATGAGTTCCTACAACCTGCAACTTTTGTTGTTGTTATCCGTGTATTTGCAGGGCTGAGGAAGGAACCAAGTAGTCTTGCGGGGTGAGCACTCTCCGACAGAGTTACACCCCCCAGTCTATAATCTTATGCATAGCATATGCCAGGTACTGAGCTAGGTACCAAATCTGTGAATGAATAAGGCACCGTCTTTATTAAAGAACTCAGTGAGGAAACGGGAGATGTTTTTTTTTTCTTTTCTTTTTTTTTGGTTTTTTGAGACTGGGTTCTCTGTATTGCTTTTTGAACCTGTCCTGGAACTCGCTCTGTAGACCAGGCTGGCCTCAACGAACAGAGATCCACCTGCCTCTGCCTCCCCAGTGCTGTGATTAAAGGTGTGCACCACCACCGCCCAACTCAGAAACGGGCTTCTTATGTGATAAAAGAAATGCTGGTGCTGTGGACAAAAGCTATAGGAAAAAAGGTAGGAGAGGGTTATTTTTTACCAGCATTGTGGTCAGGAAAGACTCTGAAAGAAGTGGAATTTGTGCTTGGCTTGAACTAGAACTTTGCCAGTTCTTGGGTGAGGACAAGGAACAGTCCAGGTAGAGGGAATCTGGAAGCCCTAAGGACATCAAATATGATGTGCTTGGGAAATTTCAATGGCCTTGTGTGGCCAGAGCATGGGTTTCTGTTTTACAGAAAAGACTTCATGCATACTGTGGTGAGGACAGTGAAATGCTTTATCTGAGAGCAGCGAAAAGCTATCTATTTGTGTTTGAAGGGATGGGGTATGCTTGTGGAGGCCAGAGGCTAACCTTGAGTGCCTTCAACTTTTTTTTTTAAAGAAAGTGTCTCTTACTGGCCTAGAACTTGCTAAGAAGTCTAGGTTGACTGGCCAGTGAGCCCCATGGAACTGCCTGACTCTACCTCTCCAGTGCTGGCATTACAAGGACACCTCCATGCCTAGCATTTAGCCAGTAGATCTATGAAATGAAGAGCTTCTGAATTTTTAGCATGAATTATGATAAGTTATTAATGATGGGAGAAATGACCTAGGAGGTTAATTGGTTATGAGATTTGCTCTTAACTTTTTATTTTTTAATTTCTATTCTCTGTGTAGGCCTGAGGGCATTGAACGTCAATACAGAAAGAAGTGTGCAAAGTAAGTAATAACAGTGTGGGTTTTTCTGAACATAGGTCAGTAAAAGCATAATATGTTAGGAACATAGTCTCTTTTTGACCTTGGTAATCTCAAAGGCCTTCAAACCAAATGCTAATATGCTTTCCAAAGACGATAGTTAAATTCCATCCCTGACCAGCTGATTACAAAAGGGAGGAAAATGAGGGCCCTGTTTTTTCTTTTGAGGCAGGGTCTTGATATACAGTTCAGGCTAGCCTTGAGCTTTGCCCTAGCCTCCGAAGTACTGGGATTATAGGCATGTACCACCACACCAGGCAAAAACTTGGGTTTTTAACCTAGTACAATTTGAAAGATCGAGATGTCATATTTCTGCAATAAAATTTACCCATTTAAATATTCAAGTCAGTGAGTTTTAACAGTAAAACAATGCCACCACCCTCATGATAGCAAACATTTCCAGCAGTTGCATGTCCTTGCAGCCAATCTCCTTCCTTCACCCTTCTCCCTGGCAGTCACTACTTCATGTCATTGTGCTTTCACCGTTCCTAACACTTTTAGGAAATTCTGTAATGTTTTCTACTACATACAAATACATGTCTTATACCTGATCTGTCTTTCTCTCCCCCTTCCCTCTCCCTTTCTGTGCCTGTGCTCCCTCCCTCCCTCCCTCCCTCCCTCCCTCCCTCCCTCCCTTTCCCTCTCCCTCTCCCTCTCTCTCCCTCTCTCTGTCTCTCTCTCTCTCTCTCTCTCTCTCTCTCTCTCTCTCTCTCTCTCTCTCTCTCTCTGTCTCTCTCTGTCTCTGTGTGTGTGTGTGTGTGTGTGTGTGTCCCTCCTTACTTTTTGCACATATCCATGGCGTGGCATACATGTAGGAATCAAAGGACAACTTGCAGAAGACTGTCACCTTCTTCCATGTGGGTGTTGGAGATCAAACTCAGATTTTCAGGCTTCGCAACAGGCTCCTTTACCCACTCAGCCATCCTGCTGGCCCCTATACCTAGTTTTTCTCAGTTTGATGTTTTAGGGATTCATCCATGTTGTTATGTGTATCAATCATTTGTTTCTCTATTGCTGGGTATCCCATCCTATTAGTTCATTTACTCATTCACAGTACTCTTTATTTTGCACATTCCAGCATAGTGATTTGTTTACGCATTTACAACGAATTTGAATTGTTTTCAGTGTACTCTATTACCAGTAAAGTTACTGTGAAATTCTAGATAGATTTTATTGTGACATATATTTTCTTTTGGGCTTGAATTGGCTGAGTCATAATGGAAAATGTGACACATTATTCCCAGGCTTATGTATAAAATGTATTATGTAGACTATAAAGCTAAGATTTCCTTTTTTTGGTTTTTCAAGATAGGGTTTCTCTGTATTGCTTTGGAGGCTGTGCTGGAACTAGCTCTTATAGACCAGGCTTGAACTCAGAGATCCACCTGCCTTTGCCTCCCTAGTGCTGGGACTAAAGGCACGCACCACCACCGCCCAGCAAAGTTAAGAATCTTAAAGGATGTTGTTCAAAGCAGAACTTCCAGCTTTAGGCTATTCATAGTAAGAATATTAGTGAGTTCAATTTTTGCTATTGTTGTTTTGAGACAGGGTCTCTCTGTAGAGCCCTGGCTATCCTAGAACTTACTATGTATACCAGGCTGGCCTTGAATTCACCTGCCTCTGCCTCTGGAGTGCTGGAATTACAGGCCAACTACTGTGCCTGACAGTTAAGTTCAATCTTTATGTGAGGACAGTTGCGTTTTGGCTCTCAGAAGGCTCAGAGTAAGAGCATTGAAGCAGAGGAAACTAAGTAGAAGATAGGAAGGCGTTTTTGAGTTCCTAGCCATACTAGATTGATGAAGCTGATTTTTGTCATATCTTGTATGTCTACTTTTCAGCTCAAAGAGCGGAATGGTCAGTCAGAGAAAGCGACAGTTGTACAGGATTTATTTTGCCAAACACTGCAATGGTTCCTGTCCAGTTTCTCTGATGCTGTAAAATGAAACAGCAAAGTGCTCAATTACCTGGGAATAATGGTAGCAGTTTTTGACTACAAAGCCAATAGTAGCATTAGGTAGCATTTCCCAAGTTTTGTGTAATGTCAATAACCATGTGGGATGCCAATGAAAGTAGCAGAGTCTCAGGCCTTACTCACCCCCTACGATTGCCAAACCAGGATCGTCAGGGAGAGACCTAGTAACCTGATAGGAATTTCAACATGCACCCTAATTGATTCTTATCTAGGGATAAGGTGAACATTTAATGCCACAAGTAAAACTGTTCCCAGAAACCAAGTCTCTTTTTCGTCATGCTTCGGGTGTGTGGAACTAGAGGCCTTCCGCAGATTCACTCGGTCTGCCATTTGTAGGTGTGGACTGCCACTCTTCTACCAGTCCCAGCCGAAGAATGCTCCTGTGACCTTCATCGTGGATGGAGCAGTAGTGAAATTTGGCCAAGGCTTTGGGAAAACCAATATATATACTCAGAAGCAAGAGCCTCCTAAGAAGGTAATTAGCATCCAAAGCCAGACTACTTAATATAGCTACACAGTTAGTCCCAAATTGAATCAGTGCTGGGGATCAAACCCCAGGACTTGTGCATGTTAGGCAAGTACCACTGAGCCGTAGCACCACCCCCTAATTTTTAAAATAAAGATATAATAACTGAGAAACTTTCAATTCTAGATGAAATATTTATTTAAAAATCCCATTGTTGTATACAAGCAGGTATTCTAGAACTGTAACACTTATTATTTGGTTTATATACAGTAGTCTTGTAAGGTTAAAAGTTGTATAATTTTTATTTTCCTTTTATTCCGTTTTTTATAAGAATTTGGTTCCTGCTGGGCGGTGGTGGCGCACGCCTTTAATCCCAGCACTCGGGAGGCAGAGGCAGGCCGATCTCTGTGAGTTCGAGGCTGGGCTGGACCGACAGCCTCCAAAACAATACAGGGAAACCCTGTCTCGTAAAAACCCCCCCCAAAAAAGAATTTGGTTCCCAGAACCCACAGCTGTCTCTCTCTAGCCACTTTCTGCTGGGTGGTGGTGAACACCTTTAATCCCAGCACTCAGGAGGCAGAGGCAGGTGGGTCTCTGAGTTCAGGGCCAGTCTGATCTATAGAGTCAGTTCCAGGACAGCCAGGGCTACACAGAGAAACTCTGTCTCAAAAACAAAACAAAAAACAAAAAACACAGTAGCAAATGTTTGAAAGCACTGATGTTTAGATAGCCAGGCTGTCCGAGAGAGGCAGGTATTCCCACGCCCCTCCTGTACAGACATGCACGCAGATGTGCTTGCATACACGGCTCATGAATCCTAGTGGGGTGAATTTAGCTTGACTCCTGTTCCTTTTGTTCTAGGTTATGATGACCAAACGGACTAAAGACATGGGCAAGTTCAGCTCTGTCACTGTGTCTACCATTGATGAAGAAGAAGAAGAGATAGAGGCTGTAAGAGCTTTTGCTTTCAGGGGAATTGGAATGGGGAGGAGGAATAAGTGACAGTTCAGGTCTGTAATTCCAATACTCTGGAGGTTTAGACAGGAGGTTTTCAAGTTCAGGGTCTGCATGTACTACATAGCAAGATTCTATCTCCAAAACAAACAAAATAAGGTACCAGACTGAATAATTTTCGGTCCCTTCCAGTTTGGCTCTGATGGTTTGAGTCTGTCCTCAGCAGTAACAACAGTTACTTTCCTGATATTTCAAGCCAAGTGTTTTTTATGGAGAGTTGTTATCAAATGATCACCATGGAAACCTGACCTCTCCTGGGTTATTAAGAAGACGGAGAGTTGAAAGTGTATGGAGGCTTGCTGTTTGAGTTCCAATTTCTGGACTTGAGTTGTGTAAATCACTAGCAGGGTCTTGATTGTAGTCCCTGGTAAGTGTGTTAGTCCAAAGGTCCTTCATTTTTCCTATAGAGGGAAGTTGCTGACTCCTATGCACAGAACGCCAAAGTGATTGAAAAACAGCTGGAGCGCAAAGGCATGAGTAAGAGGCGACTGCAAGAGCTGGTGAGTGGCGTGGGGGCGAAGGGCACGGGCCTCCTGGCTTGGATTTCTTGCTTTGAATGATTTGCAGGGGTGGGGGAACTCTTAGGAAGCTCTTGGGAGTTACTAGTATAGTTGGCTGCTCGCTTCCTCACCCCGGACTTTGGCTGTTGGTAAACCCTACTAGTAGTAACTGGGGTCTGAGCACCAAGGTAGAAATCATTTGACAGGCCTGACTAAGGTGATGCCTGTATGTGCTGCTTGTGCTCTGTGGTCAGGAATTAGGGGCTGGGTCATTGAGCACTCTCCAGGGTGTGATGGCGTCCAGTTGTAGTACCTCAGTATACCCGAAATTTTGTTTTGTTTTGTTTTGTTTTTCAAGACAGGGTTTCTCTGTATTGTTTTGGAGGCTGGCCTGGCTTCAGACTCCCGAGTGCTGGGATTAAAGGTGTGCGCCACCAGTGCCCAGCTTCGTCATTGCTTTTAAAGCACTGCTACTTTTCTGCTTTATCCACAGAATTAACTTACACCACAAAACCTCTATGTAGGGTGGGACCTATGTCATTTTTCTCTTTTAAAATTATTAATTACATCACTTCTTTGATAATTTCATGTATGTATATTATTCATTCTGATTGTTCTTACCCACTCTTTTATCCCCCTCCCACTCTTGTTCACTACTAATTTCTTGATTCATGGTTTTTGAATAATAATAATTACTTATTTCATTACTCTCAGACATTCCGGCATTGATGCTTCATCAAAATATCTTCTTTTTAAAATTTTTAGGTTAGCATACCAAGTAGTGAGTTTCTTTATGGCATTTCATAAGTAAGCCTCATTACCTTTGTTCTCTTTCTTTCCCTACCTTAACAACCTTCCCGTGCTCCCTACCCCTTCTGGTTGGTTTCCTTCTTCTACATAGTCTCCCCTCCTCTGCTATTCTGTTTTCTTTCTCTTTTTTTTTTGAGACACTATTAGTTCAGGCTGACCTCAAACTTGCTATGTAGCCAAAGCTGGCTTTGAGCTCCTGATCCTCCTGCCTCTACCTACCTAGTTTTTCAATTACAGGGTCTACACTCTGCTTCCCCTTCTGCTGCTTTCTTAACACACACAATCCATTTTCCATCCTTTCCCTTCCTGACCCTCTTTCTAGATTCATGACCTACACATACATACACATAAAATTTTATATCCAGCTTTCATGAGCCAGGGTTTTAAGTTGATAGATAAGGATTCTAAACGCCACTTTTGGCTTATACATTGAGCACTTAAGGGCAAGTGGGGTAGTTAGAATAAAGAAGAAATGGTAAGAATTTCACATGATTGTGATGTATCAGGGCATACTTTTGTTTTCTTTCCAGGCTGAATTGGAAGCCAAGAAAGCAAAAATGAAGGGGACACTGATCGACAACCAGTTCAAATAATCCAGAGTTTTTTAGTTCACACTGGAGGCCAGCGCTTACATCAAGATGAAATAGCTTCTTGAGTTCAAATAATCCAGAGTTTTTTTAGTTCAGACTGGAGGCCAGCGCTTGCATCAAGATGAAATAGCTTCTTGATTTCAAATAATCCAGAGTTTTTTTTAGTTCACACTGGAGGCCAGCGCTTGCATCAAGATGAAATAGCTTCTTGATTTCATGATCTACTCTCTATGTCCCAGGAAAAAATTTTCTGACCATCCCAATGATTTTTCCTACATTGTTGTTTTTTTCTTTCGTTGAAGTCTTTGACCCCATTTCAATTGCTTTCTAGGAGGTAGATTGTTTTCAAAATCTTTGCATAAATAAGTTTTCTGTCTTATTTGTCGTGGGAATACATTCTTGTTACATACTGGAAGATGGCCTTGAACTTGTGATCTTCCTGTCCTAGCATCTCCAGTGCTGTAATTATAGGAATGCACCAACCACCGTGCCTGGCTTCTGTACCAGTCCTCTTCATGTGAAGTATGCTTCTTCTGTGATACATTTAGGGCTAGATAAGCCTCTAGTTATTAAGGTACATGTTTTTTACTTCTTCAAAGCTAATACAGTGTTTAAAGATTTTTGAAAAAATATGGTATGGGAGGAAAGTTGCAGGAATTAAATTTAAAATTGTTCCTTTTCATTCTTAAAAGATGGATCCTTTTAAGAGACTCCGTATCTGTTCTTCGAATTGACTATGGTTTGACTCTTTCTCCTGTCAGTAAAAATCAGTTAGAAACCCCAACCTGCAGAAATAGTTCTTTACTTAAAATAGTAGAGTTATGGGTGAGCCATGCCATATCAAACTTCAGAGTTAAATAAGGAAAAGCCATGTATGTGGCTGGGGGTGTAGCTCGGTAGTGGAGTACATGCATGCTTGGCATGTGTGAGGACATCCCCAGTACCAAAAACAAGAAAGAAAGAAAGAAAGAAAGAAAGAAAGAAAGAAAGAAAGAAAGAAAGAAAGAAAGAAAGAAAGAAAGAAAGAAAGAAAGAAAGAAAGAAAGAAAGAAAGAAAGAAAGAAAGAAAGAAAGAAAGAGAAAGAAAGAAAGAAAGAAAGAAAGAAAGAAAGAAAGAAAGAAAGCAAGCCAGATTGTAGATGCAGGGGTAGGATAGCTCAGGTCTGAATTAAAATATGGCCTTCCTAAATAACCCAAAGGAGTTAGTCAGTCGGCTGGGAGAATTACTGTGTGAGTACAAAGGAGGGGGCATAGTAAGAGAAGATGACCTGTGGGGTATCTTCTTTTACATTTGCTATTTGCAGAGGACTGTTTTAAGTGTGTCGCTACTTCAGTGATGTCAATATCCACGTGGTTCTTCCCATGTTTGCCTGTTTTGCAAGGCGTGAGGAAACAGGGAGTGTGTTGCCCTCCTCGTGTTATCTATGACCAATTGCACTTTTTAAGCACCCAAGGCTGTTTGTAAGGTGCTGCCGGGAAGTAATTTTCTTTGCCTTTTTTCTGATTTCATTACTTGCAGGGAAAAGTAGGTAGGGGAGTAGAGGTAGAGTTGCGCTAGCAAAAACTGGGCCACAGAGGATTGGGGATCCTGGGAATGTGCAGAGAGGTGCTGTTACTATCTTCCCAGTTATTCTGCAGCCAGTAAGTAGGGTCTTTCTCTGGCTAATTGTTCTTCGCCTCGTTTCCTGTCCTAGTTTTGAGATAGACTTAACATTGCATGAATGACCAGCTGTGTCCACCAGACAGTGACCTCTACCTTTACTCCACTTTATCCTCAAATTCCTGTGTGCACAGCTTGGATATACCTACACCACCTCGGTAACTCAGGCTCTAGTCTCTGGCCACAGCTGCCGATTATTGCTAGTCTTACGTGCTTACTTCTTGTAGACCTTTTTAGGTGTGTTTATAGATTCAAGGGGCGCTTATTTTCTTAGTAGTAATAGCAACATTAATACTCATTATTCTCCACTGAGTACTTGGTGTGTGTCAGATGCTGTGGAAAGCACTTTCGAGGTGTTAGCTCACTCTAACAATACCTCCTCTGAGATAAGGTAGCTGTTGTCGTCACCATTTTCAAATGAGTACTCCGGAAACTCAGACTTCCCCAAGAGCCACTAGCTAGGAATTGGTAAAGCCAAAAATCTGACTTTAGAACTCAAACTCTTTACTATGCTGAACTGCTTCTCCTGTGGAATCTTTATTTATTTATATGAATAGTTAGATCAGAACATAGTTTCATTTTAAAAAACCAAGTGAAGTACAATGTAAAAATATTCAGCTAGAGAACCCCCTAAAGCAATTCTGTGGTTATACTTCTACATATTTTCTGAAATATTTGCTCTTAGATAAATGCCAACCATTTCAACATCTGGCTCAAGTTACACATTTTGCTTCTTCTATAGGATTGTGAAACATTAAGTTCTTAGTATCAAGTGTACATGTACATTTCTTTATATTTTACTCTTATTGAAAGTTATTAAAACAATATGATGTCCGTTCTTTTATTTTCTAGTGTTTTTATAGCAAATGTGCTTGAATGTTAATAAAAAGAGCCATATTGAAATTTTGGAAAGTAATACTCTTCTTTTTGCAAATGATCAACTGTGGCAAAAATATGACAATGTTGTGAAATGTTCTCTAATTGTTGGTGACATTTGTCATTGTAACTGTCATTTAAAAACTAACCTGTCTTGTTGAAGGTGCTGGCATGTGCATCTAGTTCTAACACTTAGGACCACTTTTGTTCAGGAATTCAAGACCAACCTGAGCACCATAGCAAGCAAGACTCAAAACATAAAATGTAAAATGATGTAAGTAATAGAATGGAATAAATTAAACCAGTTTGATTTGATCATCTTAAGATTCATATTGCAGCCGGGCGTTGGTGGCACACGCCCTTAATCCCAGCACTCGGGAGGCAGAGGCAGGCGGATCTCTGTGAGTTCGAGGCCAGCCTGGTCTACAAGAGTGAGTTCCAGGACAGCCTCCAAAGCCACAGAGAAACCCTGTCTCGAAAAAACCAAAAAAAAAAAAAAAAAGATTCATATTGCAGCCGGGTGTTGGTGGCACACGCCTTTAATCCCAGCACTCGGGAGGCAGAGGCAGGCAGATCTCTGTAAGTTCAAGACCAGCCTGGACTACCAAGCGAGTTCCAGGACAGCCTCCAAAGCCACAGAGAAACCCTGTCTCGAAAAACAAAAAAAAAAAATTCATATTGCAGTAGACTGTATGTCCTTGGTCTCCTGATTTGTGCAATTCTCAAGGGGTATCTAATGATTTTCATTTAATTGTCCTAATGATAGATGATGTTGCACATACTACTTTTATTACAGTTTTTTAAAACCTTTATTATCTTAACCATATTTTTTATTTTGAGATTGTGGTCTCATGTAGTGACTGGCTCTTATTTTTACTTTTAGATTTTTGAAACAGGATATCATATAACCCAGGCTAATAACATCAAATTCCCTGTGTACCTGAGGCTGACTGTGAACTCCAGATCCTCTGCCTCTACCTCCTGCGTGTTGGGATTACATGCTTAGTGGGTTTTAGTCTTGGTGGGTTTTTAAAGGTCTTTTAAATTTTATTTTATGTATATGAGTGTTTTGCCTGCATGTATGTATGTGTATCACATATGCCTGATTTCCTGTAGAGGTCAGAAGAGGGCATGAGATCCCCTCTGGAACTTGAGGCATGGGTGAGTGCTGGGAATGGAAGCAGTCTCTCCAGCCCCTATCTTTATTTTTTTATTTTTTTTTTGGTTTTTCGAGACAGGGTTTCTCTGTATTGTTTTGGAGGCTGTCCTGGAACTCATTCTGTAGACCAGGCTGGCCTCGAACTCACAGAGATCCGCCTGCCTCTGCCCCCCCCCCAGTGCTGGGATTAAAGGCGTGCACCACCAACACCCAGCTCCACCCCCCTATCTTTAGAAACAGAAAACTTGATGTCTGTGGGATTTTTATTCTTGTGCTACAAGCATAGATTGAATCTAGTGTCTAATGGCTGCTAGTCAAGTGCTCTACCACTGAGCTGTATCTCCCAGCAGTGCCTTTGAACTGTCCTGCCTGTACCTCCCAAGTGCTAGGACTGCAGACTTGGGCTGCCATGTCCAATTTCTCTAACCATTACTTTTTGTTGTTTGTTTGAGACAGGGTCTCACTATGTAGCTCCGGCTATCCTGGAACTCACTCACTATGTAGGCTAGGCAGGCCTCAGACTCAAAGAGATTCACCTGCCTCTGCTACCTAAGTGCTGGGATTAAAGGCGTGTATCACCACGACTGGCCCTCTAACCATTTTTAATTATGTAGTTTAATAGTGTTAATCTGCATCACTATGATGCAGATCTGGAGAATTTTTCATCTTCTAAATTGAAAACTGGATGCACATTGAACAACCCCCCTCCCCTCCCACTTTTCCTAAACCCTGGTAACCACCATTGTTCTTTCTGCTCTAGTAAATTTGTCTAATTTAGATACTTAACAGAAGTGGGATCATATAGCACTTTTCTTTTTTGTGAGGGACTTATTTCACATGGTGTGAGTCCTCAGTGTTTATCCCTGCATGTGTTAAATTCCTTTCCCTTTTACGGTGTAATAATTCCCTATCATGTGTGGGCCACATTTTATTTATTCACTTGTTGTCAGTAGACTGCTATTTGGATAATGTGGCAGTGAACATGGCTGTGTAAAAATATCTTTTGGACATCCTAGTTGCAATTATTTGGGTAAGATAGTTCTAGGGTTTTGTGGGGTTTTTTTTGGGGGGGGGCTGTTTTGGTTTTGTAGTGAGTGTTGGATCTTAGGTCTTCACATACTATACAAGTATTCTGTCACTTAACTGTATCCCTAGCCATATAAATTTTTTAATAAATTTTTTTTGAAATGGGGTCCTGGTAGCCCAACAGACCTTGAACACAAGATCTTGCTGCTTTTTGCCTCCCAAGGAGCTAGGAATATAGCCTGGCACCATCAGGTCTGGCTATTTGTATTTTTCTAGGACATTCTGTTCTTGTTTTCCTTAGCTGTTCTATGTACTGTTTCAAAATCTTTCACAATCACAAACCAACAATATATAAGGGCTCAAATTTCTCTGTACCCATATTGAAATTGCATTGTATTTTTAATGCATTTCTTCAGTGACTGTTGATGATGAGTATCTTTTCATAGACTTACGGCCTTTTACACAGCATCCTTAGAGAAGTGTTTTATGCAAAAGCTTTGTCAGTTTGAACTGGTTTCTTTTTTTTTGGTACATACATGTGTATATGTTAATTTTCCATCTGTGAATCTTTGGCAAAGTGTGTATTCAGCTCTTCTGATTTTTTTAATGTGGAACTTATGCTTTATTTATTTGGTTTTTTTGGGGAGGTTCAAGACATGGTTTCTCTGTGTTACAGCCCTGGGTGTCCTGGAACTCGCTCTGTAGCCCTGGCTGACCTTGAACTCACAGAGATCCAACTACCTCTCAAGTGCTGGGATTAAAGATGTGCACCATTTTTAAACCTCCCTTTTTACATGTTTTTGTTGTTGTTGGTAGTGTTGGTTTTTGTTTGTTTTGTTTTATGCTTAATTAGGAGATCCTTGTAGTCTGAATCTAAGTCCATATAGATGTATGATTTAAAATATCTCCCATTCTGTGGCGTGTGTTTGCATTTTCTTCATAGTGTAATGTCTTTCAAAAATGGTTTATAGTTCCTTTTATTTATATGTATATGTGTGCCTATGTGCCACTTGAATGGGTATGCCCGTGGAAGCCGAAAGAGGACATTGGATCCCTTGGAACTGCAGTTAGTTGTGCTTGTGAGCCTCTATGTGGGTGCTGGCAATGAACAGCAAGAGCAAGTGCTTAACCACTGAGCCATCTGTCCAGCACCTATGGGGCCTTACTTGACTCAGTCATAGATATCATCTGCGCCTCTAGAAGTTTTCTTTTTGACATTTACGTCTGTAGTCTATT